ATTAAATATACACATTTTTGAAACTTCATGACTTGAGTAATTTTAATTTCTTAAAATGTAATTGAAAAATTTATTCTTGTAATTTAATTTTTACTATAAATCTGTTCGTTAGAATCAAAATTATATTGAAAATTTTCAACTTTTTCAAAATACAAAAACTGAAGAATAGAGATTTTATTATATATGGCGTATATAATGTGCATGTGCATGCAATCTATATAGTTACATATACAATGCATATAAAATAGTTGATTTGTTTTATTTTAATAAAAAAAATAACACCATACATATAAAAATACATTGAATGTCAAATTATATAGGAAATTGTATTATAAAATTGATTAAATTTCTTTGCATTTTGAACCAATAACACGTTATATTTCAAGTGACTTATGAGAAATGTTCTTCGAAGAATGCGTTAAGAAAATGTTCTCGAAATCAGACATTTTCAGTTAGTTCATGAATCAGTTCAGTTCAAGCAAAATAAATACAAATATTACGATTTTATCAGAGATGTATAATTGTTTAAATGAATGTGATCGGAATATCAATTCAACCTTTAATAACTAATAAGAAATATATATATATATATATATATATATATGTGAATTGTTAAATCGTTCTACAAAAAAAAAACTGAAAAGCATCATTGCACAAGTAAACTGCATTTAACAGTGGTAGATATCAGTTATCCCATTCGTACGATAATTATCGTACGCATCATATAATTTGAAGCATTGTACGATCCAAAACTCAGCTTGTATGTAATTAACGATAATTCGATATGTAAATATAATATTCGATAAGTCTTGATTTTGTTTTTGTTTCGCGATACGGTTGTCAGTTACAGCGCACCCTACCGTACACAGACAATTTTTTGGTGACTACAACCAGGTAACAAGTGAAAATAGCTCGGAAGATATAGAAAGATACGAAAACGGACTTGACCTAAAAAAAAAAAAAAAAGTCATCAAGTTTGCAAAAGTTGGTACTTTCACTCTTTTAGCAGATTTGAAAATGTAAAAAATTCTGCAAATGTGGAAATCAGAAGTGTCAAATCCAAAATTCCTAAAATTCAAAATTTTTTCCTGTGCGTACGATAATTATACGGCCCTGTGTCGATCAGACAAGCTAAAGATTGCAAGAAGCAATCATAAGAATAACTATATAGAAGAGTACATCGTAATGCGTCATTTGTATATATTTTGAATAATTGATATTTTAAATCAATTAAGTATGAATATAATGTCGAAATTTGTACTTGAATTTTAATTTGTACGAGTGTTCGATCTTGCTCGCTTTTACAAAACAAATAGTAAAAAATAGAAAAACCGATGACGCCAAAATAAGACGAAATGGCGTGCTAACAACGACGTTATGAACTTTTCCTGATACAAATTGTATGAATATTCTCTTATATATATTTTATCGATGAAAATAATGAAATATCTAAATATATTAGTTTTGTGAGTGTTAGATACTCACCAATTCTGTAAATGCAGTAAAACAACGTAATATTAGGCGACACCAACTAACACGCTTCCGAAACTTAAAAATGGCCGCACCGAACAGACCGGGAGGAAGAGAAAGGCGGCGCTTCTAAGCAATTCTACCAATATAATTCAATGTTACCAACTTTACATTACGACTTCACTATGTAAATTATATTTATTATATTATTTATTTTAATTATTTTTATATTATAATTATATATTTATTTTAATTATTTTTATATTATAATTATATATATAATTATATTTATATTATAATAATTATATTTATTATATTATTTATTATAAATTTCATGACAATGTGCAATGTTTTTAATATTAGAAAAATGTATGAGATCAGCAAAACATACATTTCAAATCTTAAGCTACGAATTACACAAGATTGTGTAATTAATATTTTTCATGCAACGTTACGGTTGCTGATTATTATTTTTTGACTAAATATATAAGTATATGATTTTAACGAAAATATGGGTAAACAATAAAAGCTGACACAATACACCTATGGTATCGTTATGTTATCGGGTATCAGTTTAAGCACATAGTTTAACAAAAGTTTTATTCTATATAATTATTAAACTAACCGTTCTCCTTTCATATCTTTCATTTCTTTCTATTCATTTATAATCCACCAATCAACGAAATTTATTCCCCTCTACGACGCCATTAGACAGAGATAGCATTGGAGATCGAAGCATCTTTCTCCCTCTATTTTTCGTACATATTATACGCAGTTCATATATTATATATTTATATAATAAATTTAGATGCAATTTTTAATCAATTTTTATGAACATTTCATAGGTAAATTTTTAAGCGAAGAGATGACTTTATTAAATTTTTATGAAAGCTTTATTTTTTTACTCACTAGCTAGTGAGCTAGTGTCGAAACAACAATATTTTAAATAAAATAGAAATTTATTTCATACACCGTTCAGAATTTATAACAAATGTATGCGGAGTATTATTTATTACCTTAAGTCACAATTGATCACAAACAGGATTCACTCCTATTAGATTTATGTACATATTTATGTCCTTATAAAAAATATTAATATTTTATCGGTGTTTACCATGTTTATTTAGAGCAATTTGTTTATTTATTTATTTCCTTAAAAATTAAGCTTAACACCATTAAATGAAGACAATTGTTATGATCGTTAAATAATAAGTGATACGATAATGTAAATTACTTTATTATTTTTGTCTAGTTTTTGTTGTGTAGAGTTAATCGATTTGGCAAATGTGAGTGGCTCATTTAATCCTACAATAATGAATTCTTTATACGTTATTTGTGTTATATATGTATGAGTAGAAATAATAGAAGGTTTAAAAAAGATGTTTAATTGCCAATATTGATAAGATACACAATAATTATTTATTATATAATATTTAGTTTTCTGTTTTGTTATCAATCTTTATATATATGTAGATATATAAATAATTTTTACTCCTATTTAATTTTATATTTTAATTTATTCATTGACTTTTATTATTAAGAAATATAATGAGAAATACTTTATTAAATGTACAATGTAAAGAAAAAATATAAGGAATAAAAAATAATTTTAGTAATAATGAATTGTTTTTTTTATTGTTTATCAAACTTGAAATATGCCTCACTACGAATAACGCGCTATTGAGTATAAGTAATTTTTTAGATTATATTAGATTGTCTTTAAGAATCAGTGTATGTAACTGGATATTTAAACCGATTATTTTCTATGTATAGATATAATGCCCCATTTAATTTTTTTAATTAAATGCTATTAATAATCTTAAAAATATATTATATAATAATTTAAGACTTGCGGTGTCACGCGCACATTAATTGATTTACCAAAAAAAAAAAAATTCCAAGACGTTGTCTGTAAAATTGTTGCTATCGTTAGATTGTCATATTTCGAATATTCTGAGGGATTAATTTCTATTTTTACAAAGAGTGTTATAAGGAATGTACAGTATGTACTTGCAATAAATAAAATGAACGTATATGGAAAAAGATGATATTGTTTAATACTTGTTAAAAATATAAATTTCATTACTTTCAATCAACTAGCTAATAACTACAATTTTTGATATAATTACAATGATCTTCCTACAGAAGATATAAGATAATATGCAACAGTTATTCCCATATTATAGTACATGGGAATCATATTTAATAACATAACAATGTTGAGTCAACGACCAAAAGTCTGGTTTTATAGTTTATAAAATTATAGTAACAACTTTTTCATGGTTAAATCTTTACAATTGAGTGCAATAGATATTATAGATATGCAAAAACTATATCACTTTGATAAATAATATTTTTTATATAAAACAATGATTATTGCACTATAAAGATAGTTGATTTAATACCTGATTTTAATTGTTCTATGCTGCTCCTTACCCCAAAATGTAGATAAGAATATTTAGTAGTAAGAAACTGATCGTTTTAAAATTTAAGCGCAAGATACATTAGTTTACTTTCACAAATATGACTTTTTATACTTTAATTTGGTATAACAACCATAGACTTAAAATCATTCTTTGACATTATAGCAATAGTTTCATCGCTATTTGATTTAACATGCTTGTTTGTACAAATTAGAAAGCTAAATTATATACTGTACAGATAATACAGATTAGTTTATGGCATTTGAAACTTATAAAACAAGATCATAACAATCAATTTTAATTATACAATATATTAACTGATATATTATTCAATTTTTTAAATTTATCGCATTTCTAAAAGTCAAAGTATAATTACCTATGGTAATACACAAGTATATAATAATTGTCTAAAGAAACTTTAGAAGAATTTAACGAATTAGTAGATTTGAAAAATTATCAGATTTTAAAGTACTTTCTCATTGTTTATATTTTACAATATTGAAATTTTTGTATTATATTAATAGATACTAAAAAAATATGTGATTACATTTAAAGGAATAATAATTTATACTATCCTGCAGTGGTCGACGCTTGTTAATTACAATAGAATAAAATACCAATGCAAGTAGAAAATAAATCACATGACGTGTTTTATGTCAAATAACAGAAAAGTCATAACAATATTAAACAATCGGAGGCATAAAAAATACAATAATTAGACTTTTTTTTTGTACTTCCATATTTCAATGTAATAATATTTAATATCGATTTTTTGCCTTTTATATTTTTTAAAAATATTTAATAATATTCACAATAATAAACATAACTAATCTCCATAAAAGCAATTGCCTCTAAAAGTATTCAGAAACAGAACTAGCATACTATGACATATTGAAAGTGGAGATAATTACAAACATTTTGGAATACTAATATTTATAGAAATTTGTTTTGAAAGTACTGAAGTGTTTCATAGTCTCTTAGAGTAGTTAAGATAGATATAAAAGAACAGGCATTTTTATATACGCGATTTGTATTTTATTTATCCTAATTATATTTCTTTAAATGAGTTTCATATTATTTGCATTTATTTTGATTTTATATGCTAGATCTATTTCTAAATATATGAACAGCTTTCTCCATATTTAAAATGAACATCTTTGTGGAAATAATAATATTTTTGTATCTAATAATAAGTAGTAGCTTTCTTTGATTACATACTTAACCAACTTTAATACAGTGAAACGCGTCAGAATTTTGATACATTATAATTTTGGCGCGATTCACGGAAAAAAATTATTTATCTATGTATATCTATATCTATGTATATATATACATAGATATAGATATACATAGATATATTTATATATATTTATATTTATATATAATATATATGTATACAGGGCGAATTACATTGACTCGCCATGTATATATATACATTATATTCGTAATTACATTCGAAAATTCATATTATTATTCACCACACATTCACGCAGAAACACACATATCCACGTAGCTGCAGATGCAGACGCAATGCACGTACATTCTTGTCCATCTTCATGTATTTGTAAATTTTAGTACTCAGTCTTCAGGCTGCAGTCTGTAAATAGTTCTATGTACACAAAGGGTATATTTACAAGGGGCAGAACATATTTTTTTATCTAAGAGATGGGAATAACAGTTTTTTGAGTAAGCACCAAGCACTACACGATTTTAATAGTATTGTCAATATGTAATTTTGACATTGTCTTTTTAACACGAAGTGCTGTTAAACGCACAGCAGGATTTGCATGCCAACACTCTATCATTAGCTTACTCAATGCAAAGAGTATCTGAAAAAAGATAATTAAAAGAACATTTTAATATTTTTAAATTACAATAATAATAATATTATATATATATATATATATATATATATGAGCCTCTCATTTGCAAATTAATTATTTCAACAAAACAAAACATTTACAAGCAAATGACAACAAAAGTTGTCATTTAGCGGTATAAGTCTAATTATTTAGGAAATTTATTTTAAATATAAAAATTTAAGTATTGACGAAGTGCTTTGATAATAAAATTAAAAAATTCTAAAAGTGGAGTTAATCGCTTTGGCCTGTGAATGGCTTCATATAATACTAATTTTCTTTTTAATGTTAATGTTTCGAAATATATTACATATATAAGAATATATAAAAATAATACTTACTGGATTATTATCCCATCTTGCTGGGATAATAGGACGTAAACGCTTTACACATACAGCTAATCGCATGTCTTCAAAATCTGGATCACTTGGGACAACATCGTGATAAGGTAATGCATATGGTTCCACTATAGAATTCTTACCACCTGTTACACAACGTCTACATGCTTCCCACAAAACTAATCCTACAGAGTACATGTCTGCCATTTTGAAAGCATCAAACGATGATGTGTTCAAACTTTCATCCAGCACTTCTGGAGCCATATATCTTCTGGTTCCTACTCGCGTATTAGGCGCAATATCGATTTCTCCGCTTTCACTAAATTAAAATAATAACCAATACGTTTTTAGAAATACAACATTTTGATGAATTAAAGATGATATACATATAATTAGAAAAACTGACATACCTTATAAAACGTACAGCTAAACCAAAATCAGCAATAGCACATTCACCATTCCTTTTAACTAAAATATTTCTGCTTTTGATATCTCTATGAGCTATGGCTGGTTTTCCACGAGTTCCAAAAATTTCTGTATGCAAGTGAGCAACACCCGATGCAATGGAAAGACAAATAGCCAATAGGCCTGCATGATCTAGTACAGTGGTTTGTAAATAATCATGTAAAGAACCTCTTTCATGGTAGTCCGTAATTAATAACATTTGAGTCCAAGATCCTGTTCCTTTGATATCAGCGGCAATGAAGCCTAAGATATTATCATGTCTCATTAGAACAGTCTGGTAGATTTCAGTTTCACGAAACCAAGAAGCTTCTTCCAGAGTAAAAAAGACTTTTACTGCGACTTTTTCTCCTCTCCATCGTGCTAGCCATACTTCGCCGTATCTACCTTTTCCAACGCACAATGATAAAGCCAACTGTTTAGCTATAGTTCTTTGTACTAAAAGAGGTAGTCCAGAGCCTGATCCACTACTTTGATCAATAAAATCTCTAAGTGTTCCTTGAGAAGGTACTAAGCATGGGCCTCTTTCTTTTCTTCTATATCTATGATATATTATTACTATTGCTATGAAAATAATCATTAAACACACAGACAACGAAGCAGCTAATATGATAATAGATGCTCCAGAGGCAATAGCAATTGGATCTGGTGTTGCTGTAGGACGAGGCTTGTATTCTGGAAATAATTCCTTATTACAAAGAGCCGTCTTGTTGCAACAAATTATGTTTTTTCCTTCTAGGTGTGGAACGAGGTAGCCTTTACATTGCAAGAAACCCTCTTCATCCGGTGGCAAACATCCAAAGGACCATTCTGGAACATATTCTCTAATCTCAGCATCCCAAACTTCTTCTACAGCGCTAAAACAATGTCCACCGGGTCTTCCTTCGCAAGTACCGTTTTGTCGGTCGTCTGGACAGTGTCCCTCACAGTAGCAAGTTATTCCCAATACTGAAAGAAAGAAAAAACGTTTATTTATTTCAAAGAATCAATATTTTATAGTATATGTTAATCGAAATATATAAGTATATTATATAATTTAATAGTCAATGGTTTAGCCACGTTGGATTACTAATTTCTGTCAGATCACCAAAGTCAAGCAACGTACATTCATTAGTAAAATGAATGAGTGATCCGTTCAGAAACACAGAATCGTGCGATTGTTGACTTCATATAGCCAGTAAAAAGACCTGTTAGTAGAGAAGTGACTCGAATCCGTAAAAGGGAAAGTAAAAAGATACAATGTCATTTAGTAGGTTGTTTAAACTAAAAACAAATATATATTGGGCTGTTCAATATATTTAGTTTATTAATAATTATACAGTTATAAGGTAAAATAAGTTTTTAATATAACTTTGAAGTTGTATATTCATAAACAAATTCTATAAATTAAAGATGGTTAAAAAAAGGAAAGGAAAAAAGAAATGTTAAAGAACATGTTAATCAGAAATATAAACATTGTTTTAAGATTAAAAAATTTTATAAAGAAACAATATTAATTGTAAACATATATGTAGAATCAACCATTTAATATTGAATGAATTCGAAAGAGGTTTGCCAAGCATCGATGTGTCGCGTAGGCGGACAAGCATCACTACCCACGACTCTCAACGAATGAACAGTCATCAGAAGGAACAAGAAAGTTATCCGTTTTTGGTTCGTTGATAAAACATAATGGTATTTAATGAACTAAAAGTATACAATAATTTCATTCCCAACATTATTGGATATCTTGATTTTGAAATCGTAATGAGATATATATGCGTGGGTGGCATGTTACTTTAGAAGCTAAGTCAACGAACTTGTTGAAGTAATCGATTTTAATTGTATTTTATTGATAGGCCAGTTGAAGAGAAGTTCTTTTTACAATTTCGAAGAATTTACATACTTAAAAATAGAACGGCCATTTAGTGTGAACATTATATGATCATAAAAATTTAAATATCAGTGTTTAAAGTGAATGCTATGGTTAATAATAATACGTGCAACATAAATATGATTATAAATTTATTAAATAAATATTTTTCATTTGATTGAACATCTTACTTGGGTATTAGAGTACCTAGTGAGTCGGATAGGACTCAAACAATTTTCTATATCTGGAGAATAGTACCGAGTACTTAGAATACCAAAGAGGTTGTTGCCAGTAGTTGTCTTACTCATAAGTACTTCGATCGATTACGTGTGGAAAAGCAAAAGATTAAAAAGAAAGAAGAATAAAAGAAAAAGAAGGGGATGAAATTTACGAGTGTGGTAATTTATTGCATTGTTAAAACAGAGTAAAAAAAAAGATAAGAAAAGACAAGGACGGAATGAAAGAATCGCGAGAAACGCGAGAGAACGAGATCTTATCTTCGGAATTAGGGAATTGCTGGTTAAGCGGTTCACGGAGTGTCGAGAAAAAAATGAGAAGGAGAAGAAGAAGGAGGAGGAGCAGGAGGAGGAGGAAGAGAAGGAAGAGGAGAGCGACGATGCGTTGAATGAAGAAGAAAGAAAAAGGAAAAGAAGGGTGGTTGGTTGGGTGGGTATAGCTACGAGTATTGCGAGATAGCCGTGAGACGACAGCAGAGCTCGCTTATCTTACGTCGCGGAATTACTCCCTCGCGCGTCTATTTTCCGGTGACCGCTCTATTTATATCTCCCCGAATATCTGGATGACGGATCGATCCTCCATGCGTTCTGCGTCCGTTCCGTCCTGTAACGCGCGATCCCACTCTCTCTACTCTACCCTCCCTTTACTATTCTCTCTCTCTACCTCTCTTTCTACTTAACTTTTATTCCCTAAACTAATATCTTGCTATACTATGTATCATAATCTCTTGGCGTACAACACTATGCAACATATTGCATTTTATTTTCCCGACATTTCTATACCTTTCTGATATTATTTATACCTTATTCGTAGTTGTTACTCATAAACTACATCCCCCATTCCTATCTCACCCCATAGTACTATTCACTCGTTTTTCTTTTGACAATTTCTTTGTTAATGCGTAACTTATATAACATACAATGTCTTCCAGGATGGGTGAAATAGCTCTTTTTACGAGCTAAACAAATTTTTCTTCCATATATTAAGTTTAAGTGGGATTTTTATATTCTCTCCTTCTTTTCAGTTCTTATGTACAGTTATTGTCAATCATATATACACATGTGTATATATTGTATACATGATTTAATCGAAACACGAATCGAAAGTACATGTAAGTATAAAATGTTTACTTCCGTCTTTTATGTCAGATCCTTGGTATTTTTCCTGGTTTTTATAATATGGTATTTGTTCAAATCGTTCTTCCGACAAGAATTTCTTTAGACAAGGTCGTTCAAACTTCCAACGTTTATTTCACGAACAATTAAAACTTATCAGTAAATTCTTTTTATGATATTAATCTTTCTATTTTATTTCCATTAAAAATTGTAGTACAGTTTATATAAAATTAATGATTAGGTTTGATATCAAGAGCTCAAATGTTATTATCGTACTTACAATTAATAGAAGACTGAAAGGTAAATTTAAGCTATTCTTATCCGTTACAGATAACCATTATCGTACGAGGTGTTTTTTATTAAGGAAAGTTTTTCAATAAAAAGCGAATTTTTAATCCTCTTTAAAAAGTTACGATTGCAATCGGAACGTAAGTACTGATAGTTCGAACATAAAATTATTTAAGATTATTTATAACTTATCTTCTGTGTGAAACGTAAATTCAGATAAGTCTATTTATCGATGATGAATGAGTTGTAATGTAAAACAATCAGTCAAATGGCAAAGTTTTAAATTTTTTATAAAAATTCAGCATTAAATGTTATTACTTTGTTTCATTTGATTTTACTACAATTATAGTTATAAATATTGTTTTATTTATTATTTAAATCAATATAATAGGTCATAGCCAGATAAAATTACAAAAAGTGGCCTTGAACAGTTGCTATACATTATAATTTATATTTACTTATTTTTATACTTTATATTACTTAATTAATTGCTATACCTAATAGATAGTTATAATATAAAATAAATCATGAAATTAATTTCTTTTATTTAGTTCACTGTTATAATTACTGGCACAATTTTAGATAGGTGAGATTAAGGTGAGAACACACATCTTTCGAACATTTAATCGAGCGTCTCGATGATAAAGAAACAGAATAAGAGACAAAATGAGAAAAAGAGAGTAAAAGAATGTTTCGTCTTTTATCCTTGTGTATCTTGAAATGAAAATGAAGAGGAGAAACGAGGTGAAGAACGAGTACTTTTCCATCAACAACATCCAGTCAATGAAATTAATTGTTGACTGCAATTTGAGAGCGATTGCTTGATATACTTTGCAAATAATTTTTTCATCATCTCTGGTTTCATTTTTGGAGAAAATTCTTTCCGATTGCATTTTCTAATTTTTATTTTAGAAACGAGCATGTGTGTGAACGTTATGTACAATTGTAAACACAAAAAAGCTTTAAGTATAACACGTTGGTATATATAAAGTACAATAAAAACATAGATATAATTTTCCTATATATATAACTGAAACTAACTAATTTTTCTTATAATCTTCTAAATCTGAAGTATGAATATATTGTAAACGATGGAAATTCATTACAGATTCATATTTAATCTATATGATTTCTAATAATACTTTTTATACTCGAAAGATTTATTTTCAAACAAAAATTAATTAAAGAATCGTACCTTCAACAAATTTACGGTGAATGTTATGGAAAAATTGAATTTGTGTTAATACTTTTATTCAAAATTGTATATATGTACTTCTATACATGGATTTGTGCATTTTTTGCTATAAAATTAAATCGGTATTAGTAATCGTGGCAAGCTTGAGCAGTGATATCAGCCGATGATAACTTGTTACGTCCGTAAGATCTGAATTTCGAAAAGGTTTGAGTCAAGTGATTCTCCGTAAAAATGGTTAGTTTCTTTTTTCTCAAATGATCGACGACACGTATTTAGTGTGTACTCATGCACGCACATTTTATATACATACGTCGTTATATTTATCGTTTACTTCATTTATAAGGCGAGAGATTTCGTAATTATGCAAATAGAGTTTTTTTGACGAACCAGTTTCTTTTTGTTTGTTTTTTAGTTTACGTTTAGAACTATAAGTCCGTTTTTATTACATCAATTTTATTCTACGAGTACTCAAAATAATAAGAGTTCGATGTTTATTATCTAAATTTTAATTATATTATTATATTTATTATGATTCGAATAACAATGAAAAGAAAAAAAATATTTATCAAAATATTCATTTCAAAGAGAAGAAATATATTTGGAAGTTGATAATTTAACAGCCAACTCCTAGTCTCGGAAAAAGCCTAACACCTGTTCTTATCTTGAGTAAAAATAAAAGCTAAACTTGTGGACACGTGCGATAGGTGCACCTTACTTATGTACTACATAACATCGGATAAACGATTAACGAAGGGCTCATGATGAAGCATTTATTTTTCATTCGTTTATCTTGCTAAACTTTTTTTAGTTTTTCATTGTTTTCCTTTTACTTTAAAAAAGTAAACAAAAATATCGTATTTGTTAATTTATTATTAATATAATATTTTATGTGATACAAATCTTATTATTTCTTTTTCTCTATCTCTCTTAATAACTCATCCATGAAAATCTAGTTTAACGCGGCGCCTCCTTATCATTATCTTTAAATATTTGCTTGCCATTAGGACGAAGATGACGTTCCCGCGGATTTCATTCCAATCCGTCGAGTATTTTACGTCGAAATCAACTTCAATACGGCTATAAGATAACACGCACTGTCTAACGTATATACGTTTTAATATATAAATATATATATATATATTTATACATCTCTATTTATGTATCTAATACACAGCAAGGAAAATTGATTCTGAAACGTAAAAACGTATGACGTAAGATGTACGCTAGTTGCACTGAATTGCGATTGGTCAATACTTATACATTTACATTAGTACAATCGAATCAGAATCCAGTATATCCTTATGTCACGATTCTTTAGATTTGAAATATTTTGTTTTTTAGTTTTTATTATGCAAACGTTAATGTTGTTCAATGCTATCGAATAAAAGTTTATTTATCCTTTTATCTCATTTAAATAAGCAATCAATTACGAGGAGCTTAATAATAAAGCATTCGATTCGTTGTTGTAAATCAATATTTAATATATTTCATCGACTTCTTTCATATTATTTTGAAAAAGAATTCCAAGACGACGATAAGATAATAAATAAATACAAAAGCGTATCGAAGAAAGATCAAATGGCAGTTATCTGATAATCTTTCATCGTTTAACAGGATATCAAGAAGGATATGAGATTCTCGCGTGTCCTCGAGATCGCAGAGAAGATCTAATTTATTTTATTGGTTATAAACAATTTACAGATGTCTCTTATAAATCTTATAATATATGCTAGAGGAAAAAAATATGGAATAGTTAAACTTATACCTTTGTAATAATTTGGTAATGTTTTTATATTATCGTTAGAAAATTCAGGATTAACTATCAAAAGTCGCGGATTTATCTTCGTCAATATTTAACAAGATAATTACAAGAATTGTGAATAAAAAATCTATTATCGATTTGTACGATCCACGGATTTCAATGTTCGCAGTTAAGAAACCGTTTATTTTATAAGCGAATTTATCGATAACAACAATAAAAATAAAAAGCTTTTAGTTTAATGATATATTTACGAAAGAGAAGAACGAACATAAGATAACGAGAAATTCTATTACTGTTAACAGGCTACACTGTCATTTAAAAAACAAGTCGATTAGCATATGAGCCGAGAAAAAGACATGTAATTAACGAACTCACGATGGACCGGAAGAAAGTAGCAAACGGACAGCACGACGTTTTTAGAACGTCATTGAGGTTACTGCAGGAATCATCGAAACAGGATGTTGCGATGTTCGCGAGACGCGCTATAATGAAGAGAGAGAGAGAGAGAGAGAGAGAGAGAGAGAGAGAGAGAAAGAGAGGAAAGAACGAAGAGAAAGGAAAAATAATATGCTATCAAAGTGTGTCTTTACAATATCTTACTGTTACACAGTTTTCATGCAACAAATTGATCTTGTCCAATGAGCTAAATTCTACAAATAATAAGATTGATCAAATCATGTGTTCGCGTTAACGAGATTATGATAAAAGTGTTCTTGGTATGCTATATCCTGTGAGGAAAAAATTTAGGAAAAACTTGAGGAAAAAAAAGAAAGAAAGAGTAAGGGGATACAGATGGAAAAGAATAAAAAGAAAAGAATCTTCTGAGAAGGGATACGAAACGAATTTTCGTGGTGGCGTCGGGAATCTCTAAAGACTGCTGGTATTTCAGTCCCTAACCTCTGCATCTAATCATTCTCTCTCTTTTTCTCTTTCTCTCGAGGGTTAAAAACGTGCGTACGTTTGCGGAGAGAAAGCGAGAGAAGTGTATTATCTTAGTGGATAAGACGAAGCTCGAGGAGATCGGCACGCACACGTAGGAGAGACGTCACACTATTTTCAGCGTGTTCGGAAAGGCTCAGAGAAAGAGAGAGAGAAAAAAAGAGAAAAGAGACAGAAATGGAGAGATGGGAAAACGCACGTTGCGAAGGGAGATCTCTTGCAATGGAAATGAGAGACGATGAAAAAAGAGAGAGAGGGAAAAGCAGATAGATAGACAGACAGATAGACAGAGAGAGAAAAAGAGAGAAGGGGGTCGTCACAGTCGTCTTGTTCCGTCCTCGAGACGTCTTCGAAATCGGAGCAAAAAGCTAGGTGGAGGAAAAGAAGGAAGGATCGAGGGCGCGCCGGACGACGATCTCTCGAAAATTGGAGAAGGAGAAAAAGAAGAAGAAGAAGAAATAGAAGAAGAAGGGAGAAGAGGAAGAGCGAGAGGGATCATTTCTCTCCGCACTATGCAACCACTCTACGAAACACAAGCGACAAAGGGAAGAAACGAGGGATGTGATATTTTCTTGCCAGAAAAAGGGAAAGAAAGAAAGGGAGAGGGGACGGATATTATTGTGTGTGGATATGTTGTGTGAATGAGAGAGAGAAAAAGAGAGAGAGAGTATGAGAGAGTGTGTCCGCACATATGTGTGGCAGAAGGCGAACGGACAGCAATCGTTCTCGCGCACAGTCCCTCTGCATATCCTCCGATCGATTCCTCTCCTCGTCTACCGTTTAGCACGAAAACTCGCACTGTTTTTCGATCAGGAGATCAATTTGTAATATTCGTCGCCTTAATTGCGTTTACGTTTTTCTTTACTCACCACCGATAAATCTCGCGACAAACACTCCCAGGCCGAACCACAGGCCGTATTTACATCCGCGCCGACCCGGGGTAGCGGAGAGCTCAGCCATTTTCTACACTCGAGAGCACATACTTCACTGTGACGTAGTCTGCTCGGCGTCAACTCGCAAGGCGCAGGCCACGGATGCTTCGATTAAACTCGGCTCCATTCGTTTCTATTCGTTGAGACAGCGCCGAACGGCTAACTTTTGGTGGGGGATACCACCGCTTCGTGCGATTTCGTTCATCTTCGTAAAGATTGAATGAGAAAAAGAGAAAGAGAGACAAAGGAGAGAAAAAGACGCAAAACACATTCGGTTTCGCGCAAATACTCGCGGATTCGCGGCCGAGCTTCGATTCGAGTCGTGTCGAGCAGTGTGTAATTCTTCGAAGAGAAACATACATACGTATGTACTCGACTTTTCACCTCTTATGAATCTACTACTCCGCATTAATGCATATCATACGCGTGCGGATATGTCCATTTTTTGTCCTAATCCTATGCAGTTTCAATTGAAAAATCAATAAATTTTACCTTCTTTTTATGTATTTTTCAAATGAAACTTTTTTATCGTTTCTTTTTCCCTTTTCTATTCGTTTTACGCATCATCGATATATTTTTCTTGATTTCTTCGATAGTTAGACATAGTTGAGTAGATTTGTAACGAGAAACTGTATAAAAAACAAAAAAAAAAGAAACAGGAATAATATGTTAGGATTGTGAGCCTAAGCTCCACGTACCAATGCGGGCCTGGCGTCAGGTCGATAAAGTGGGGGAAGAGCGCGCGACGGCGCCCTGCGGGCGCCACCGTGCCGGGACGAGCACAGCCCCGAGAGATCTTTCCTCTCTTTCTCTTTCTCTTTTTCCCGCGTGACGAGCCACGACAGTATGTATACCCGCTTACTACGGCTCCAGAGCTTCAGAGAGTTTGAGCCAAGAGAAGCAGCGAGGGGAGCTGCTCCTTGGAAAGGCGCGAATGTCTATGCTCCTCGCGTCACCGCCAACGGAGAACTAGAACTCAACTTGAATCTGAAATCTTTTTTCTATTAGAAAAAACGAGAATGAGCTACTGCTCATTTTTTTCTAAAAAAAAAAAGGAAAAGATACTTTTCGATCTTATCTTAAATGATTACTTATACGGAGTCTTTGTTTTCTTTCTTTTTAAAGTTTGATCTGAAAGCGTTTGCACGTATTTATTTTATGTTTGCATCTTTTAATCTCGTGTCATTAGAATTATTATTCTCAAAGTAATTTATTAATATTTTTGTATATTTCTTTTAATTTATATTTGTTTATTAACGTGTTAGTAACGAGCGGTACTTTGAAATTTGTTTTCAACTACATAAATGCAACTCGTATCGCATTTACATTAAAATGTTCGACTCGTGGAAATAACGGGATCTAATGGGTCAATTAAACGCAAGTGAACTCTTAACGATTCATCGACTTCTTGAGGAGATTCGCACGGCATAGTAGTAAGCAAACAGCAAAACTCAATAAGACCGTGAAAAGAAGGCAATTTCTTCAATTCGAAAAGGAGATAGTTTGAATTGTGCTAGTTGCAAAAGGAGTTAAATCGAGAACGAGGGGATCGGTAACTATTTACGAGTATTTATGTCTTTTCCTACGTTCTATCTTCTAATCCTATTGCTTCTATGAAAATAAAATAAAAATATCAGAGGAAACGTTGCTCTCCGACCGGTTAATTGGCGGGAGTGCGTGAGAATGTGAACGAATAGGAAGCGTATAGCTCGAAAGTCGCTTCTTAGATCAAAAAGCGATTTGTTAAACGTTGATGACGATTATCGTTGATTTTTATTTAATCTTTATAATTTTATTTTTCAAAAGTTGTTGATTACATTGCGATTTCACTGAAAGTATATTTATATGAACCTCATAGTTGGTCCGTATGTGCTTAAGTACTAACTAGTTGATATAACTTTACGCTCGAACGATGTTGTACATTGAAAGTCATTAGTATTCTTTCAAAGAAGTTGAAAATCGATCGATCTGATCTTACGGAACCTGCTTACAAAGATAACGAAGCCGTATAGATTCGTCAGTCGTTATACTTTTTACCGAAGACTCTTCTTATGCTGGTACCCCACCAAGCTGATGTCCATTGCTTAAGTATCGCTATTACTCTTTAATTAGTTATCAGTTTAATTAGCCTCCTCCTCCTCTCTCTCTCTCTCTCTTTCTGCATCTTTCCTTTGGAATTTTTCCAAGTAAGTCCAACATTTAGGTAGCTAATTGTAAGTACACTATCTAATATGTTCTTCGCGGTGTCATAAATATATAAATTATAATTGGTGGCTATTTATTGACAATTAATTGATAGCTTGTAAGAAATCGAATACATGGTTGTGAGCCATGATAAATTTATTCGATATTATCTGATAAGTTTTCAGCATAATGCCTCATCTATTAGTTTTCTTTCATTTTTTATTCAAACTTACAAAAATTATATTATTTTTTCGGACGTCTCTGATTTATCGTAGTTTGGCTTATTTCATAGATTAAATTTTATCTTTCCCTAATTGTTACAACCCATTGATATGACTTCAAACCGTGTGATTGATTTCAAATAATAATGTAAATTCTTGTATACCTGAGATAATAAATTAAAACTAACGAAACTATTGAATTAAGGGGACATGTCACCCAAAAAATCGATTTTTTTTTCGATTTTCTGAAAGAATATTATTTCAAAAATATTATCTCAAATTTTCGTAAAGATCCGTGCATTATTTACGAAACTGTACTAGTTTAAGCGAAGCGCGCCGTAGCGCGGCCAGAACAGGTATACGAGCAGCTGCGTATACAGGTATACAAGCGCACTCAAGAAAGTACGAAGGAGGCGGGAAAATCTCGACGGCAATTGAAAATCACTTCTGCAGAGGCTGCTGATGCAGCAGAGGGTTCCTCTTATGACCCTGAAATTGATGATTCAATGTAATTATGAATACAAGAATTATCTTAACTTTATTCGTTTATTTCTCCTATTCGCGTTTTTAAATCGGTGGTCCACGCTGCGTCTAGACCATTATGCCGATCTTTACCAAAATTTGTACAGTAATACTAGATACACGTATCTAGGAAATGAAATTTTGAAAAAATGCAAATTATTTTTTCTTCGAAAAATCGGCGATTTTTTTGCAAAAAAGTAAATTTTTTCGTAAAAAGTCTACTATTTAAAAAAAAAATAAAAAAATAAAAATTTCTTTCCGTTCATTCCCTGGGCAAACATCTCAATTAAAAGAAAACACTTGGTTTTTTTTTCAAATGAACCAATTTTTGCCAGTGAGGGCCACCGCAAATCACCTTTTTTTTTGGACTCTTGGAAGAGTGGCCACAGACAACACAATTTACCATTTTTTTACACAACAAAATTTATAAATATAGTTCAGATATATAACTTTCATATACCAAAACTTTATAATGATATTAATAAAATCGGCTGAATAAAAAATTCACAAAAAAACCCTTTTTTTTTATACTCTAAGGTGACGTGTCCCCTTCATAAAGATTCGGTACTTGTGTATGTATACGTGTGATGATGTATTCAAACGAATGCATCGTATAGAGTTAACAAATTCTTTTCTCCTTACGCACATTCTTTTTTCAATAAACTCGATAGACGGGAGCATTATCTTTAAACATAATCTAGAAACAACAAGAAAGTCAAAGATAATACCGATTTTCATTGAAATCGCTTATCGATTTTTAAAATGGTTTATCGATCAGAATCAATATACCGATTTGTCTTTATCGTAATTGTCACTGATATAGTTTCTCACCTAACGTGTTGTCTATGTTACTACTTTGCTTACATGTACCATGTATGAAGAAGGATCGCGATACAGATTGAAAAGCGACGCTGCTTCGTTCCGCCGTTTAAACCATCTCTGTAATTACGTACATGTATTTTTAGAAATGATGTTGAACGCTTTTATGGAAACGCGACTTCCGACACGTTCGAACGCAACGATGCAAAAGTGCGTGTGCGCGCGAGCGCGCATAAGTTTTTCCTTAAAGTTACGCTCCTTCCTCGATCGCTCGGTTCTTCATGCTATCTTATGACGATTCGATGCTATTTAGGTTTCTCTCTTTTCTGCTCTACTATCTCTACTACTGACACTTGTATTCGCAAAGGAATAACTCGTGTTCAGTTGTCTATTATTTTCTATGCGATACGCGTATGATTATCAACTAGCCGAATATTTGAATACGCAAATGTATTCGAATGTAAAATGTAAATGAATGTTAATGTTTTACATAATATGTAATACGTATTTACATAATATTAAATAAAAATGTAAATTAATTTCTTATCGTGTCGTTTCGCGCTTGACAATATAATAGATTTTTTTTTAAAACGTCCCATATTTTACCATACATTATTCTTTCGGCAGTTACGTAATTTTTTACAATTTATAATACGAATAAGTTATAATAATATTTCTTTTGTTTAACAATGAAATAGATATGAATTTACATAGTCGTTTTTTTTTCATTAAACCATCTATAATTCTATGTTACTTTGAATTTACATATCTATATCCAGATGTTTTTCTATTTAATATTATAGAAAATCAGAATAAATGAAGTAATTTCGAATATTATTAATGTACCGTTCATTTTTATTTACACGTTAATATTCATTAGTTACAAGTTATATAAATTTATTTATAATCATGGAATAATTTAATCTATGGAAGGTTAATAAACGCTAAGAATTTTCTTCGTAGAAAAATATTTTTGTGTGGATATGGATACAGACTTTTGTACGGTTTATGTTACTTCACGATGATTACTTATCATAATTTAATACTACGCGTTTGAAATCACTATTCGATCTTATTTACGACGACCAGCGGGCGTTTAGTTGATTATCAATATAACGACTCTGCCCCTTTCGCGATGTCCTCAGCACGTGGTTTTCTCGCTAATTATATGTATACATATACATCAGTCTCTAACCTTTTATCGAATCGATCAGGAACAGCAGATACGATTTCATTTGTTCTTCGTACTGCTGTTATATTGAAGTGCATATTAACTTTGTTATTTTTTATCGACTTATTTATGAACATGAAAATAAAATCGTTAAAGGATCATGTTCGATAATAACGATGAATTACGAGGATATGATAATCGATTTTCTCTCTCTCTCTCTCTCTCTCTCTTCCTCTCTTCCTTTCTCTCTTTTTGTTGTTGTATAAAACTAGACGCGCGCGCGCGCGCGAATACGCTCTTACTTAAACGCGTTTATCGCTCATAAAAATGCAAATTATTATGTCGCACCGAAAATTATAGACGCGTACTCATAAGTCCTGGCACAATTTGTCTCCGGATCGTGAATCACTTAATTTTAGAGTACAAAGGATACTGTGTTTAAGCTCTCTCTCTCTCTCTCTTTCCTCTCTCTTCCTCTGTCTCATTCTCTCTGATACTCACCACCCGCTCTCGGCAGACCACTTATGTGTGTTCCGCGTTCACATGCTAGCTGCTTCTACCGGAACTAATTGAACCGTTGCTCTTAAACGCCTGTAAACGTTGGTCGGAGTAGTTTCCTTGCGCATTGTCGCGCGTGTCCCAACTTACCTTCTACAGGAATACTAAAATTGATATTCACCATTCGATATAGTAAAGTATATATATTTATATAAGTATTTCTGTACTCTTTTATAAGCATGACTTCAAAATTGAATCGAGTGGCACGTAAAATTATGCCGTAATGTATAATTCCCTTGAAAACAATAACTAATTGTAAGTCGATTAAACGATTCTTTAAATTGTTTCTGATTTTAACGAAAATGCTAAAGTTTTATATATAAGGTTAAAAAAGTATTATTAAAAACAGTAGGTATGCAAGTAACAATTTATACACTTACTAATTAAATACATGCATATAACCTATTCAAATTTTGTCCGGTTCATGTGAACACTATATTTTTTCTTATTCTTTTATTAAATATTTCTTATTAGCTTTTGAAACATTAAAAATAACGTAAAAATGAGAACCAGAATCTCGTTTCAATGAGTTACATCACACAAAAATCATTGCATATAGGTATGCATGTATTACCATCCTTACAATTTTCAGAGTTGCATTTGATTGTAATAATAAAAAGAAATTACCAATTGTACAAAATTGCGACTCGGTACGGTGAAGACGAAAATTCTTCATTGTGTCGTTTTCTATTTGTTTTTTCTCTTTTTCTTTGTTATCACATGCGTGCATAAGCGCTCAATTACACGCGCGCGTGCTTTTATCGCGTCAGCCGAGAAGAAAGAAGAGGAAGGAGAAAAAAGAAGATGAAGAAAAATTAGACAACGCGATCGGAGAGCTAGAGTAGCATGAGCAAGCTTACTCAACGAAAATTATAAGGATAAGATAAGAATTCTTATAATTATAGTAATGCCATATATGTATATCGTTTATTGTTAGTCTTGTATTACTGGCGAGTCAAGTTATGAGATCGTCAAAGAACCACCTATACGATTGACTGACTGACTTACTGACTCACATTTATAATTAATTGTTATTTACCCGTTATATACATATATGTATATATATATATATATATATATCGTTCGAATTTTTAATCGATAACGGAAACACTGATCGTTCAATTCCAATTTCACTGTTCTTTGTAAAAAATACAAGTCGTTTATTGGCAACTCTAAATGACCTAAAATAATAAACGAGTCTTTTATAATATCGAACAATTGACCACTGTCGAGAATCTCTTGCTGCCATTGGTTAATCTCCGTAAATCATTACGAATATCTTTGAGAATATCAATTCTCTCTCCGAGAGAGAAATGAATTTTTATCATTATGATTATAAAATACGGACATACGAATTTTATGAATTTTGCACGGGAAACGTTGTTTAAAGGTTCGGTAATAATCAAGAGAACGAACGTGACCGACAACGAAGTTGAAATCTGGCGCGGCACGAAATGAAAGAAAAACTCGTACAAGTTTCTTCGAAAGCTATGCGTATTACTTATTCGTGGTTGGATCGGTAGAATGTTGTTAAGAAACGAAAGAGAGAGAAAGGGAGAGCGAGAGAGAATCTTTTGAATTCCGTGTTAACGAAAAAGGAGGAGAACCGTGGACGACAATTCGTTTCTTCAAACCGGATTTCGGGATTAAAATCGACCGGCTGCTTCTTCGTCTTCTTCTTATTCTTCTCCTTATTCTTCTGCGAAGCCCTTACTTCGTTTTTATGCAGTCGAGGGCGACGGAGATCTCGCCTTGGTCCGTCACAATCGAACGGTCACGAATAAGCGCGACAATGGCCAATAAAGGTAGGACCAGGTCCTATCGTAGAGGGCCTTCTCCCCCTTATTTGAATCTCGAATCATGGGTCCCCATTCGTCTCGAATGTCTTCAATCTTTCTTGTTGGAAACGTATTTTCTTTTGAGTAGAAAAAGAAATATCAATGGAGGGAGGCATTCATGAATTTTATATTGTAGATACATTCTATGAAACGGTTTTGAAGACATATATGCATTCTTTGATTCTACGAAATTTGTTCTTTTTTATATTTTTTTGAAAGAAAAGAATATAGGATAGTAGTAGTAACTATATATATATATATATATATATATATATATATGTTATAGCGTTTTAATTTATATCAATAACGTTGAATAACAGATTGTAATTAATATAAAGAAAGTACATATAGCGTAAAAATAAACGATTCCCATTGTGTGTTATCACGAAACAGGTTTACAAGGATATTTTCAAGGATATTCGCCATTGGATAAAGGTGTGAGAAGGCAGGCCGACAATTCGCGAGGTTTAACAAGATCCTTGGATTAGAATGAACCCTTTTCGTCGTTCCACGAATGGTCCATTTAATGCTCTCGCCTGGCGCCTTAGCAAATTTTTAAATGCGACAGGAGGAGGACTATACAAGAAAAGGAGTCGAGTCGATGGGAGAAAAAAGAGGACCTAGAGGGCCCAAAATCTCGATCTGTTCGGCACCCGTTACGAGGACCGACGAAGGTGGAAATATATATTTCATAGGAAATAGAATGTGTGTGTGTGTGYATGAGTTAGAGAGAGAGAGAGAGGAATAGGAGGAGTGAGATAGAGAGAGAAAGAGAGAAGAGAAATGGTCGGACGGAGCCACAAAAGAGCGAAATGCATGTCTGGGCCTTAACGCGGCGTAGCCTCCCGGCTTTTGGGTCAGTTCTCGGCCCTCTCTAGTAACCACATCAGTCTCTGCATTCTATACCACCTCGAGTCGAGTTTCAGGGGCGTACTTTATTTCTTGGTCCATATATTATGATTAGTTTAATGAAGAACTTATATTTTTCAACGAATTTTTCTATTTAAAAATAAAAAATCTTCTTTTATTATTAACCAAATATTAGATGTAGCAATTACTTTGGTGTTTTTTAAACAAATAATAATCTCACATCTGTTATTCTTCAAAATAATCTCCATTATTTTCGATGACTTTGGGCTATCTTTCAGATAATTGTCGAATTTCTTTAATGAAAAAAACATGGTAATTTTAATACCATTAATTTAATATCATAGTATCGAATATATTTTTATTTTTGTTACAATTAATAGAATATTATATACCTACTGTTTTTCGTGTAGATGAGTCAAATAAATTTGAAGAGTATATTAACTTCATTTAAAATGTTATTAATAAAGAAGAGATGATGTTCGTCGTCAAGAGAACAATAGAGATATGTACATCGTATCGAAGTAAAGTGGCACGTAGCTCTTAACAAGAAACATTCTCGACCGAGATTAAATGATAGGAAGATATTGGATAATCGATCGTAATTGTGTCTATTTAGTATAGGGAAGCTGGGGTTGGCGTCTTACAACTCTTCTTGGAGACTCTACCAAAGTGGCATCTTCTATATTAACGGCAGGAAGCGGTTAACCGCTCGACTGAATAATCGTTCATAGGGAAAGAAAGAAAGAAAGACAAAGAGGGAGAGAGAGAGAGAGAGAGAGAGAGAGAGAGAGAAGCAAGAGAAATAAATCTAACGAGGACCATCGAAAATGTCTAACTAAGCGTTCTTCAACTTTATGTTCTTGAATACAAAGCTTTTTGGCGCCACGTTAATTGATCGAACGACTTGGTCCTGTTCCACGCAAGGATACAGGTCGACTTCTTTCTAATTATCATTTTTTTCTTTCTCTTATGATGCTGTTATCGCAATAAAAAAAAAAAAGAGAAAAAAAGAACCAGAAAAATAAACGAAGACGGCAAATGAATTCGCTCGATTAAGTTGGAGTTAAAAAGAGGGTTGACTACCTGGTCACGATACAAGTTTCTTCCTTTTTGGTTGCGTATGCGAGTGGTTCTGCGTACAACCAGCTGTGTATAAGGATATCTTTAGAGGTGGCTTTTATCGCTAAAAGCCAAGTGTGAATCGGGGCCACCGGTGCTCGATCAAAGGCGACCGTGCCGACATGATACAACTAATGTAAGAGGAAAAGAGAGAGGAAGAGTGAAAGACTAAAAAAAAAGAAAAGGATAGTTAGAGTTAGAAAACAGAGTCAATAAATAAAAAGGTAAAGAAAGGGAAGTAGGAAGAAGAATTTAAAAGAGGAAAACGTTTGATTCAGTTTAGCCAATCTCCTCTTTTTGTTTTATTTTTTCTTCTACTTCGATTAAAACGGACGACGATTAAAAACAAGTGTTGGGTGTAAACGATTGATAGATAACGCTTATAAAGATATATAAAAAGATCTTCGCGTAAACGATTCGTCGAAATTCTTATTGAGAGTTCTCGACTGGAAAATTATTAACCGACGAGATGCAAGATAGGTCGATGCATCGAGAATATCGTCTTTGCTTGTATATATGTTCGTGTATACACGTGTGCATATTGTTCGCTCGAATGAATTCAATGAGAAAGAAAGAGAAAGAGAGAGAGAGAGAGAGAGAGAGAGAGAGAGAGAGATGGAGAAACTACGAAGAGAGACGGGAGTCACCTAATCGTGACCGCCTACCGACAAATTAGAATATATCGAAGTTTAACTCGACGACCACAAGATATCTCTTTCCCTTCACGAAAATCATACTATCGCATACATTTACAGCGATTAAATTTAACTCATGTATTTATGTTCGTCATTTATTCGTTCTTTTGCATGAGGTAACTGCAAAGAAAAAAAAGAGATAATAAACGTTACAAGCAAATATATTCTTTAACGAGATCACCTAATTTGCATTCGATCATAATTTTGTAGTGAACCATAACGTAATCACGACTACAGTTTCTTAATGAATTTAAAGTCAAGCTTATATGTGACGATAATTCATACTTTATTAATTTTTAATTTCAGACTCATAATATCGTCCGTTTATAAGTTTTATTTTGACAGTAATCTTAGTGGTAACTCTTGTTCTTATCAGCTTCGTGTTCGTGGATAAGAACGACACACGTGACACGATAAATAATCGCGAATGATTTGTTGAAGAAAGAAATGCCTTTTTAAATCGAAAAAAAAACGATGAATCTTATTGTACTGAATTTTTATGATAAAGTATATTTCATTTCGAATATAATTCTTTTACTAATCTTGAATAAACTCAAAGCAACTTTGAAAAATAAATATAAAAGATTGTTGATCAATATTCAACCCCATAGTTAAAAAATTGTATCTCTTTATCAATTATATTATTATCAAAAACACATAGAACAAATATTCGAAACAAATCCTCATCGAGAAGGAAGAGAGAACCTTTGAAAAAGTGACTTTTAACAAAGGGTTAAATCTAACGCGTATCAGGTGACGGGAGGCATGTAGACGGCCCTGGTCCTGGCGTGGCGTCGGTTCTTATCCCGTGGCGCGCGGAAGCAAAATAAAAAAAAATTGAAAAAAAGAAAGAGAGTGAGAGGGTAGACGCAAGACCAAGCACAACAAAGATCCATCGGGACCGGTTTCGTGTTCTGCCCTTTTTTACATTCTCCGAAGAGGCCCCGCCGGGCTGCGGGTGTGAAAACCGACACCCACCCACTTGTTATTTTGTCAAACACGAGCCCTGAAAATTATAGGAATCATGCGGCACATCGAGCCTATCCTATACGTTTAATATAAGCCATGCGCACGACAGATTATATTCCATCAAACTTTTATTCTCTTTGCCTTTGTGCGTTTCATCTTTTATAACTGGCAATTAAACCCGAAACCGGAAAATAACTGCTACTGATTTACGTGCAATGAAAGACGCGAGATGACGCAAGCAAACTCGGCCATTTTGTTTGTCTACCTACGAACTATAATACTGTATACTTATTACAATTCCTTTTAGTTTTTCAATTCATACATGAACATAGGGCTCTCAAATCGAACGAACTAAGCACTGCGATTGACGGAATTGTGAATTCCGATAGCTCGCCGGTGGTTTCAATAATTTCGAGGCAATTGAACCGAGACGAAACACCGATTCCAGCATACGATCGCACGAGTACTCAACTCTGGAATAGCTTCGCACAGCTGCTACGGCTAACCGCACCGATTATTATTTCTTATAGGTCGAGCCGAATACAAGTTTTCGTGATGAGTACTTACATTTCTTTTTACTTTTTTTTTTTCCTACGGCAATTTATCATTTCGATGTTATTTCATCTTTCAAGTAATGTTAAACAATATATATTAACACATTCGCGACCGCTGACGTGAATTCACGTCTTTTCAAGTTTTATTCCTAATTGCTGCTGACATGATTCAAGTCATTTTAAATTTTAAAAGTTTTATAAATATAAATTTTATATATTAAATTTATATTTAATTATATTTCAATATAATATTTAAATAATTATATTCTATTATATATTATTATATTTTATTATTTAAATATAAATTTAAATAATTCATTATTTTTGCCGGTACTCAGTATTAAAAAATGAAAAAATATGACGGTCGCGAATGTGTTAACAAAATATCTTCGTATGTTTTTTTTTTTGTTAACCAGAATTAATACCTTTTTTCCTAATTTATTGTTTAAAAAAAAAAAATTAATTTCATTGCGGTGTAGTCAACCTTCCTCTTTTACTCCACCACCCTTCTTTCCCTCACTTTTTCCTCACTTTTATTTAGTCGATTCGCCTCATCTGAAATGGTCTTCGGTATCCTTTAATATCCTCTCTCGTGCCAAGTTTTCGTTGCGCCGCTTTTTATACGATCAACCACCGCATTCTTACATTCGTATCGTTTCTCCTTCGTCGACGTAGAGCTCCCTTGAAACGAAACCCAAGATTCGAGAGCGAGTCTTCCTGGGAAACGGTGACTTTTTGCGATTCTCCTCGATTGATCCTTCTTACGATTAAACATGATTTTCCAAGTAACTCGACTTTTTTTCGTTTATGCAACAATCAAAAGAAGAAGACCCTTTGATACGAGAAAAATGGTAAGAAAATGATTCAGCGTAAATTATTTTTATCATATCGATAACATAATAAAGTAATTTTATGTATTAGATGTAGCAATTAATTAGATGTCCTTTTAACAAATTTAATATCTATTTATAAAGTAATCATATACATCAGTTTTTCTTCGAAATAATCCTAATTATTTTCCATAATTTTGGTCCATCTTTTGGATAACTATAGAAAAAAATATGGCGATTTTTATACAATGAATTTAATATCAAAGCAACGAATTAATTGCTACATCTAATAATTATTCATGCAAATAAGAGATATACAAGGACATACGCGAAAGAAACGTTTTTTCTTATCTTCCTATTTGAAAGTCGTATAAATATTTACAAAGACCAAATAAATTGCGTAATGGAGAATACTCATTTCTCGAGAAGTCTTCTTAATAGCTATTCTCGTGGTCATAAATATCAAATGGCGACGTAATTCTAACAAAGAAAGCGACAACAGGAGTTTTCAAAATGAGTATTCCTATTATGAGATCGACTTAAACTCACGCTGCTAATATGGAACTAATCGTAAAGGTTTTATATATGTATGTTTAAGAAAGAAGCATAGTTTTGCAATCAAGGACATTTGTTATTTTGCATTCAAAATAACGAGAAACTCTTTCTTTTTCTTTGTCGTGCAATGAACGTATCAGATGTACATAAATATGTACAACATGAGAATACGTGGACGGCCGATAATGATCGAAGCTTCATTAGCCTAACTAAATGACTTGACACCACTCGTGTTCGAATGGATAATACGTTGTCTCGAAGAATTACAAAACAAACTTAAAAACATCATATCTTTTTTATATAATTGTAAGATATATAAATTTATTGTTAGATATATTTATAATAATATAGATACATCTAGCCAATGCTGTAATACACTGGAACGTCGTTTAGGCACATTTTTACAGTATTTTTTATGTTTCAAAAGTTAATAAGAAATATTTAAGAAATATTTAAGAAAGAATAAAAAAAATAAGCAAATGAGAAAATATAGTGTTTAGATTTGATCATACCTAAAATTAAAAAAAATTAAGATAAATTAATTTATTATGAGCTTATAATATTAAATTAATTTTTTATGAGCTCCGTAAGAAATGCTGCTTTAAATTTCCTTTAAATTATATTTGAATATAATTTTCTTTTATAAGTAAGTTCCGGCACCTTCTTTTTTTTTTACAAAAAAAGCATTGATTATCTAACAACACATTAATATCTTGCAATTAGTATTTTATATTCAATCAAAATATTTGTATGAATTAAATTATAGTCTTTATTAATTTTAATATTAAACTTCATTAAACATCCATTTATCTAATTCAATGATAATATTAATGATAATAATATTAAGTCATGGTAAAGAAAGTTTTCGAAGAACATTTCGAACACAAGTAATTTAGACCCTGAACTCGGAGGTCGTTGACAAATAGGGCCAAGTAAGTACAGTAGTCAATTTATTCTCATCGAATCTCACGAAGTCAATCATATCGCTAAAAGATTAAGCGATATACCCCAGAGGCCCATTCCACGAAATTTATAAGCAACTAGGCAGAAATAACAAGTGGTATGCTTTTATATGAATTCAATATTCTTCCAAAAATCAATGAATTAAATTGTTAATACTGAAACAAACTTTATGAACAGGATGCATGTCCACAAATAACTTGATTTTTGTTTCTTAGAAATTGATTTTTCTTTAAAAATAAATAAACAAGTGACGAATTCAAAATTTGACTAAATATCCATTGCGTATAGTCTAAACTATTAGGTATAGAAATTAATTCGGTGTTATAAATAAACATTAAATTTGTTTTTAAAAAGCACTGAATTAGATTTTACACCTAATACATATATAACATGGATATAAGTATTTATATATGCATATGTATACTAGTAATGATGACAGTGAACTAAGTCAATAATTACAAAAAATTGATTTTTTGTAATTTATTATTTTATAGTAGTTATTTGTTTAATAAAATAAATCATGAAATAAAATTTTGCAAATTTTTAACTTACAATTAGTCCATGTAATTACCGATGTATATGTGTGTACAAAATTCGTACACCTTTCGATAATTTGATAGTATTTGTTAGCAGTGTGGATTTTCTCAGGTAACAGAAAGCTTTTACTTGGCGAGCTCTTTCATGTCGTTGGCATTTTTACTTCATTGTGGAAACCATAGCGTAACAGAACTAGTACATATATGTACATACGGAGTTTCGCTCAACAAATAAGGCTCTTGTTAAAAGCACCGAGGCTAGCAAGTCTCCATATTCCTCTGGGACGGGTTCTGCACGCGCGTTGACCATAATCGGAATACAATACCTGTCCCTTTTATTCCTCTTCGATGGGTCATCGTGCTGCTGTATCTACGATAAACTACAAGAAAACTACATAGAACTTGCTAATCCGAACGGATAAATTAAAAATTTCAAAATTTTAATAATCTTTTTTCAATAATAAAAATTACATTAATACAAGTATATCTTTCCTGTTGATATACATAAATTAATATTTGCATAGCAATATTATTTCAATTCTTTACTTGTACATAGAAATAAATTGATTCTTAATTTAAAAAAGACATCTGTAAAAGTTAAATCTTTCGTTGACATGTCATTTACGTATATAGAAGTGTATATTATACGAGTAACAGAACCCGTTGATATCAGAGGCGCGCTTTCTATGTTAGTTCAAACATTTCACTGCTAGATGGCGTATTTGTTCAATGTTTAAAATTTCAATTCTATACCAGT